GACCCAAAACATTTACAAACTTCTAAGTGAACTATCAAATATTTAGAATTTGCTTACAGACAATGAGATCTAGCAGAAATAGAAAATAAAACTCACGGGTATGATTTCTTATATTTGTTCTTTCAATAATTAATATCTTATTAAATTATGGTATACAAATTTTGTTTTCATCAGAAACTTAGCCTCTCAATCATTCAAAAAAGTAACCAGTTAATAGACAAACAAATTTTAATATAATTTCAACTCTTCTTTAAATAATAGATACTTTGATCATAGTCTGGCTCCAAAAAGTACTACAAAAATGCAAGGAGGGTGTTGTATTTCTAAAACGAAATACTTTATTCAAACTTCTTTCAAAAACAGCTATACATTTCAATATAATTTCCATATTGAAACACTTAAAAATAATCATAAAAAGTGAGTTGTAATAAGAGGGAAGGTATAATTTTACCTAGAACATTTAAGAGATAGATTATTTAAAAAAAAAAAAAAAAAGGCAAAATGGATGAGCTAAAATTCACTGAGCCAGAATCTTCTTCTAAATTGAAAAATACATTTATATCCTGATTGTTCTTTCTGGTATACCTTGGAACAAGAATTCTCTAAGAGTATTATTAACAATATAATAGAATTTTAAGAAAAACTAAATATGAAGCACTCTACAAATGCTAAAGTATGAAATAAACCTAAAATAGCTAGGGCTGGGTATGTGTGCTCTTTGATCTACTTGAATATTGATGTGATTAAAATATTTTTTAGTGTTTCCATAATTCATTTCTTTATAAGAATGATATTAAAAGAGAAATTTAATGAAATAAATATGGATGTTGTTAACTTACCTCTTTTAATTCCACTGTATGAATTGATTCGATTATCTACTAGTAAAACCAGGCCACAGAGAGATGTGGAATAAAGTGACAGTGCTGTTTGGAGCCGATGGAGTTTCACTCCACTTCGATGATTTCGTTTATGCTTACAGAAGTCTAGCATATCCGCTCTCAGCAATCTCAAATTATGCATGGTCTTCAACTGGGCTCCTGGAGGTGGGGAACAGTCCCAGAAAGATACTTAGGCAGCTGCAAAAATCCAGTACAACAAGATGGAAATCTCTATGGCAAGAATCCAGAATAAATGTTGTGCTATGAATAATCATTAAAAATGGGTCTTGTAATTTCCCATTTTAATAACTATTAACATATATAACCTTTCTATTTGCAAAAAATTATTCATAAGTTAAAACAGAAAACTTATGGCCAACAAGCTATAGGCTTTCTTGGAGCAGGATATAATTTGGAATTAAAATACCATGGGTGTATCCTACTCCTAGGCTAGTGATTTTTCTCTTATAGGACAAAAAAAGTTTTCGCAAATTATAATAAATTATAACTTCAAAAATTAATACACTTACCTAAGTGAATGGTAAAACTTTCTTCTAACTTTCTCTGTTCCTCATAAATCCTCCCATTTGCTTCTACAGATTCTCTGAACTGACTTGGCTGGACTTTAATTTCTTCACTGAAATTAATAAAAGTTATCAATATGCTTTGTATGTTTGTCAAGAAACTTCTTAAAGGAAGGCAAGTTTGATAATAAAATGAGAGAAAACTAAACAGCTGAAAAAGGATTTAATTTATTCTTAAACATATCCTTCATCCACAGTGACAAATAAGACCGTAAGCACCAACAAGTTCTAAAATTCTTACTTGTTCTTTCATTTCCTCACAGTAAGTAATGTATATTATTTTTTCAGCCACTATAATAGCGATTCATATATTATCATTTAATATTTCCTAGTGGCCTAAGAGAATGATTAACTGAAATGACTAATTCATTCCTTTAAAATCATATTATATTTTAAAACATATATAGGCATACCCGGCAGATATTGCGAGTTTGGTTCCAGACCACTGCAATAAAGTGAATATTGCAATAAAGCGAGGCACGTGAATTTCTTGGTTTCCCAGTGCATATAAAAGTTATGTTTACATTATACAGTAGTCTATTAAGTGTGTAATAGCATTATGTCTAAAAAAAGCAATGTACATACCTTAATTAAAAAATAGTTTATTGCTAAAAAATGCTAACCATCATCCGAGCCTTCAGTGAGTCATTATCTTTTTGCTGATGGAGGGTCTTGCCTTGATGTTGATGGCTGCTGACTGAGCAGGGTGGTGGTTGCTGAAGGTTGGGGTGGCTGTGGCAATTACTTAAAATAAGACAACAATGAAGTTTGTTGCATCAACTGAGTCTTCCTTTCACGAAAGATTTCTCTGTAGCATGCGATGCTGTTTGATAGTATTTTACCCACGGTAGAACTTCTTTCAAAATTGGAGTCAGTCCTCTCAAACCCTGCTGCTGCTTTATCAACTAAGTTTATGCAACATTCTAAATCCTTTGTTGTCATTTCAAAATGTTCAGAATTTTCCCTAGTAGTAGATTCCATCTCAAGAAACCACTTTCTTTGCTCATCCATAAGAAGCAACTCCTCATTCATTAAAGTTTTATCATGAGATTGCAGCAATTCAGTCAAATCTTCAGAGTCCACTACTAATTCTAGTTCTCTTGTTATTTCCACCACATCTGCAGTTACTTCCTCCACTGAAGTCTTGAACCCCTCAAAG